TATATTTATTCCGCCTAAAATGTAACATTGCACTGGGTGGGGCTACGCCTTGGAAAAAGTGCGTAGCAAGCTCTCACTGACTATAGTGAGAACTAGTGCCTTTGTTAAATTGCGTACACCGGACGCTCCGATAGGAAGGCTCGGTACTAATCACCAAGTGTTTGTAAGAGAAAAGAAAAACTGCACTAATATATTTAAGGCCTAAATGCGTCTTGTCTTATTTGTCCTAACTTAAGTGTATTAAACCAAAGCATGTATAGTGACATCTACTCACCACACATTGCGCGCGTCTAGCAGCGATTGGTGGGTTTATGTGATGATATATCGACCAATGAGTAGACCCTTGGGTCACTGCAACAATATCACTGAAACTAGTGATATTGTGTTGAGAATATTAGACTTATTATTCTCCATTATCATATTGTCACAAATGATGATATTATGTAACGGGCTCGCCCTGTTACACATTATGCCCTCCTTCTGCACTACAATATTTTATGGAAATTTGCGAAAGATAACAAATATACTGCATCTTTACAAGTGAAATGGTCTACCCACAGAATGTGACCAACAGTAAATTATGCGCTAAAGAAAGCGCGATTACGGGGAGTTCACAATGCTCTTTCTCATGTTTTGTAGTGTGCGGATCGTATATGATACAGCTTGTTTTTGCATAAATTTGCAGAATCCTCCAGCAAGAGCTCTTGGTGCATATCAACTATCCACTTTGCGTTCCTATGCCACGTTCAAGCCAAATGCTGTTGGTGTTGGTGTGAGAAATATTCTTATCTTGGAACGCGCGAATGAATTGGATTGCTGAGCTGAAATGGCTGCAAGTAGATGAATACAAAACTGATGATCATTCAGTGTTTGCCTTGCACTTGTAATTTTCCTGGAATGGTGTGAATGGCTATTTACGATACATCAGGTATCGCTACGCAGCCAGGGAGAAACGGGCACAACCTGATGATGTTGTTGGTTACCATCACGTTTTTACTAGCATAGTGGATTATGATAGGGTGGCCATATTCATTTGAAGTATCTACATCAAATGAAGTTAGTGGGACAGCGAACTTGTCCACTATAATTATCATGCACACTGCTACCCTACGACTTGTAATGTCTACTGAAGTCCGTATCTGTTATGTGTTTCCTGCATTTATCGATATGTTGTGTGAATTTGCAGTGGGCAAGATATGAGGAAGCTCCCTGGCAAGTAGCGTGACAGCTACTATCGCAAAGAGTGTTACATGTGTTGTAATTTGAATTTGCAGCGACAGGTGCCAAGTAGCAACAGTTGTCTAAAATGTAATGGGTGCGGAGCGACAGGGTCGGTGCGACGTTGCCAGGTCTTAGTGGGTGAGGAGCGAAGGGGTCTGAATGACAACAAAATCGGTTGGTCTAGAAGCGTGCGTAAAAGAGAAGATATGAGACCATGCACAGCGCCTGTAAGAGTAGTAGTTGTGTGCACTAGGAATAGCCAAGTGCGCAGGTATATGTAAATGTCAGTTCCAAAAACACCATCCCGTGCTAATATCTTCATTGAGCAAACCGTTATTTTCAACAACATGCACTCCCTGTGGGATTTAGTAGGCGACCACCATGACGATATCGGTCCATACACTCCATAACGACCTGTCACAGCAAAAGGGGTAAATTAGCAATAGCAATCGATACTTTCTCGACCGTGCTGTGATATACAAAAGTACCGTGCGAGGGTCTTGTCTACATGATACATCAATATGCAGGAGTATTTTTCCACTTGATTGGAAAACGAATCGACGCATAGTAGATCAATGACGGGGTTGTTTACTAGATTAGTAAACGAACCGAAGTCATTGTTTTAATTACAAATAAGCGTCCATGATGGTGTCAGCTGGACCAAAAGAGTGTTTACTGCAGTTAGTACAATCCTGATGGAAAGCTGGAGCCTTACACACAGATAGACTTGTGGCAACAGCAGGTACGACCGAGACGCTGGTACAAAAAGACATGTCAATGTCTGCAACACACAGGAGATTTGGCACAATATAAGGTAAGGTTGAAGGCGTTACGGCAAGCGAACGAGCTCATCACCAAGTGCTAGCCGCCTTGTCGAACCGACAATGCGCACAGTCCTGCCATTCGCGCAGCTTTGTATCCAGAAACAAATCGATTTATATCTCACTACCCGATTTGCTACAATCAATAATTGTCGCGTCGACATTGGCCCTTTCGGTACGAATATGTGCTATCAAGGTGGTGAGGCTCGTGTGGTGTCTCCAGAAGCCATGAATCATGCAAAAACGTTTTTCCAGTTTGGTGGCTTGGTCATTTCACTGAGGTTGCGAACCAGGTATGTCTCCTTCGCACCATAATACTTATGTCCTGTCTGTTTTATAATTAGCATTATCGCGACAGATCCGACAACTCGCGGTAGCGTCGTTCAAGCATTCGTCGTCACGTCATCGCCGCGCTTGCCTTGACCGTCGAACGTTCATCCAAACTTGCTGTGGTTTTGGCTGTAAAATGGCAACAATATATTGGCGTCAAAATGGTGTGATAATGTGTGTTGTTCAGCTTAGTGTGGTCGTATTTATTCTATTTAAGGATGGCCAATCAAGTTGCGGAGAAAGTCAGGATAATCACGGGCAACTTTCTCCCACGGTTACACAATCATACGCAACAAAGCTCGTTTGCTTTATGCAATACGAAGTGAGATGTGTTAAATTGAAGCGGGTGCGTCATTGGAATCATGTCCGTCAGTCTGATAGAAAGTAAGACACAACGTAATAAATAATGTGACTGGTATGGGTTTCCCCAGTGTGCACGATTTTGATAGTGTGACGATCCAAAACGATCATGTTCAAATACGATCAAAGCAGTAGCACCACGACTTTAGCTCGAAAGGAGCTGTATCAACACGCAACGGCGTCCTGGTAGACCACATGCATGTATGTCTTCGCATCAGTGTGTCATTTAGATGAAATGGAATGGGCTCGGGCATGTTGGCTCCCAGCGATGAAAGCCAAGTCAACATCTTCATTTTGTGAGAACTTCTCATCAGTTCTCTCTTGTTGGTATAACAAAACCAGCGATTGAGAAAGAGCTATTGTAGAAGCTACCGCGAAATCATTGAGCCCATCGCTATAAGTACGCACAATTTCCGTTTTCCATGTCTTTCCTTCATTCTTAGTATAAACTGCCACGGTGTAGCTGCTATTGGAACTACGTCGCGCCAGTATGTGATCTTTAGTTGACGAGCTGGTATTTTCTCTCGTCCAGGCTTAGCAATGACACGAAAAACTGGTGCGTGATGTACTGACCGCATTGCTCCCACAGCAGATAGGAAGGAGGAGAACGGTCGCGCAAATGTAATAAAGATGCGCAGTGCCATCATCTCAACAGCATTTCAAAGGGTGCTCGAGACGAGATTCTAGCAAGCGCTACGTCGCAAGCGTACTTAGATTCGAGCGAAGTGATGACGCGATGTGTGCGCAAGCGAGGGGCGTATAGTGGCTATGTAGTCGCACTAAGCCGTTGTACTGTTTGCGTTACATCACAGCCCTTAAAACCGCTTGAACGGAGGTGATTTATGGGTTCTGGACATTGCGTTAGAGTTCAGGGAAGCCAAGGCATACGTACTAGCCAGCATTTCAAGCTGACCCCAGACTCTAGAATCCATTGCCTTGTTCGCAAACGTACGGTTCTTGACCCTCGATTATATCGTCAATTTGTTTCGGTCGCTAGTAAGAAGGGAAAGAGAGACCAGCAATGTGAGGTATTGACGAGTAGTGTACTCCGAAGCGCAACGGCTTGTTGCGCATGCATAAAACATGAGAATCTAGCAACAATGTATCGCCAGCATCGATGACTCACCGTGCGTGACAATGTTATCTACGTTGTGTGTCTCGGGCTCCTACTCTTCGTTAGTAACAGCCATGAAGCAGGAGGCGCTGTGACGAAGCACACATCCGAGTCACGACGCTCAACTTTGTCATTCATGATGGAGATTGACACAGAATCTGCACATCCGTCGTCCTATTTCGGATGCATACCAATTCCTAGCGGTGTCATCAAAGTGTGGGCATTGTTTGCTTAACCTGCACTGCCCTGCGTTGCGTTGGTACGGATACAGAGCTTATTCCACCTGCACGGACCGAAAAGCCAGACAGAAAAGAATGCCGCGACAACGCTACTTGAACTAGTCGAGTGGCAGCTCCTGCAAATCCTTGCTCGCCTGAGCTTTGTGGTCTGGATAAAATAGCTAAATTGCTCATCGTCACCACGAAACATCTGAACTCAACACACTTACTGCTGCAAACCATACACTTCTTTACCTTCTAGCCGCATCTCTCGGAAAGCAAATTCCACGACATGCCGGCGGAGAAGTCGCGACTGACATCGCATTCCTTGCAGAAGCGAAGCTTGTTTGTCTCAGATCACCGATAGATCAGTGATGGACTGTACACCATTGCAAGATCGCTCGCTACGGAGTCGCAAATTGGGAACTTACGATGCGTGGTAGAGCTGCGACTTATCCTTCCGAAAGCGCTGCCGTGGGCAAACGTGACTACTAACAAACGCCATCTACTACTTGACGGTCAAAAAACGGCAGTGTCACAAGTGTACGTCCGTGCAGAACTGCACCTATCTGCTGCTCGATAAGTTCACTCGTAGAAGCTTTATGTTCGCTTTTGACACGTCCAACACGTCGATATGGCGCACTCTTCAAGCGCAACTATTGACATCAAATGCTGCCTTTATGCCTTTACTGCATTAATCTGCAGCAGCTCGACGCTCGCTCGACGTTCAAAATCGAGGACAAATAGTCCCAAGGCGCAGTTTTTACTCGAGTGGACGCTATAAAGAGGAACAATGGATCAACGAGAAGGTAATGCAATCATCAAATGCACTGGTGTATTGTCCCACGCATGTCAACGTCCTACCAATTGCTCTGCAATAGTTCCAAGTGTGCGCTGTCACTATCAGGAAGACAGTCCAGAGCGCACTGCAAGTCACTACAATGTGGGTGATGGAAAGCCTGGATGCAAGTCTACAATTCCTTGCTCGTACAGACTTTTGTATGTCTCGTAGAATCTAGACTCCTTTGAGAGCCTCCCACCGACGATAATTCCAGGGTATCGTGTGTCTGTGATGTCTAGCGCTCGCTTAACGATAAAAGGCTTTGGGCCCCAGCGGAGAAGTGCCTCGAATGTCATCCCTTGCGCCAGGCTATCCTTAACAAGCGCAACTACCTCATCAAGCTCGTCCTCCTTCGCGGTAGCCTTGGCAGTACCTCGGTAGTACACCTCGACGTAGCTGAAGTAGGTTTTTAGATTCTGCTCCATCTCCTCACTGGTGTAAGCCGTGGGATAGCGCACAGATGGTATGCCAAGCGCTCGTTGAACTACGACGGGTTGTAGGCCTAATTCGGCTAGCTCCTCGACCGTTGCCCCTTTGTCCAATCGTCTTTTGGTATGCCAAGCTTGTAAGTCATACAGCTTATCCTGCACCTTGGCGATGAGAGACTCAATGACCGCCTCAACTTTGGGTCTAACTGCTTTATACCACTTCTGCAGCTTGACTGTCCCTTTCCCGTGGAAGTCTTTCATCGCTTGCATGGACAGCTTGGACTTCAGTCCGGCGAGACTTTCCTCCAGTTTCGTCCCAATCTCCGACGCACCTCTTTCTTCTCCGGCAATTCGACGACGGACACCATCCGCTCGAAGAGAAAACTGCTTGTCCGTCATTCCGGACAGCGCGTCGTACCTCAGGTCCGGGGATGTCACGTCATCCAGCTTTTCGGTCACCGGAGCCAGACGGGCACCACTGCCAGCAGACACGACGACGGCCAACACGAGGAGTTGGGTCCACCTGGCCATTGGGGCTCACAGTACAAGCAGTCGGTAGCGACGGCGACGACAACGAAAAAAAAGGAGGAGGAGGAGAGTGTTCTGAAAACTTGGGGGTGGCGCGAGCACTGCTGAAGTAGAAATGAGGAGTGAAAAGAGGTCTTCGTGCACTTGGTAGGTGAGCAGGTGGTGAACGCGCCATCACGACGTAAAGCTCGTGTAGGACATTTACTCCCACAAAACCTTGAATCCATCCGTCGAATTCTGGTCCTCTCGTTCCGTAGGAACTGATGTCCGGGCAAGGCTATAGAGAAGATGCTGCGGACCAGTGTGCACTTTCCTCGACCAAGTATAGCCAGTACGTCCAGTCCTCTTTGTGCATAGGTAAAAAATCGTTTAGAAAGATAAAAACCGAAAAAAACAGACGATTCGTTTGCACGAGACAGCGAATCCGGAAGGGTCAATATCCGACCCTTTCCTTTCGGGTACATTACGAGAGAGAAGAGAGATCAGGTCGTCAATTGGATCTACTTATCACTCGGAAGATATCGGTTGTGTGGAAACCACCTCGGTCATCACCTTGACACAGTTATTCCTACCAAGTTTCTCATTCTGCTGGCTCGACGCTCCAGACGTTACGGGGCACACTATCGAAAGGCCACGTGATAATGACTGTTGACCAAGTCCGGGGTCAGAACTTTGTGCGCACTCTTGGCCGGATGGCTGGGCTGTAACGGGGCACGCCTTGTGTCAGTTCGACACAAGGTTGTGTGCACCCGACGTCACGTACACATGGCGTAAGGACGCAGCGAAGTAGGCAGAACTCGAAATCACTGTCAAAGGGAAAAAGTAGAACTGTATTTAATACAGTAATGCTTCTTAATAAACCATCTTGTCTTGAGATTTATGCCGTGTGACCCCTCAGACCACCCAGGGGTGATCTGCGAGTACCGCGGCCCGGTTTGAACTCGCCAGGGGCCCACACCCCTCAATACACTATGGGACTTTTCGGCTAGTAGGGCCTCCAGTCCACCCAACTATCACACACCCTTAGGTGCGAGTTGGCAGGGCGGCCACCCATTGGGTGGTTGCTCGTCATACTTTTTTAACCTATCTCCGGCGCCCTGTTATCGAATCCCCCTCCGGGATATCGATCCAAGTATATCCTGATCCCAGCTCCAGTGGTCTACCACTCGTCATGTTGGTACCATTTTGTCTTAAGCTAACTATATTAAACTACAATCTCCTATGTGGGTTTCTTGCTCATCACCTATTGCGCGCGTCCAGCAGCGATTGGTGGTTAATATTGTTGATGTATCGTGAACATCAACCATCAGGTAGAGCAACCCATCAAAGAAATATTACCTTTGGGAGATATATTCCTCCGACCTCACTCCTTACGGGTAATGTCAATTGAACATTATCTAAATAGATAATGTTCAAAACTTTGTACTTCCGTACCAATTTTATGCAACGGTTTCGCCCCGTTACATGGGCTGCGCGTCGCTTCGCGCTTGATCTGCTTCAGAGGATAGGGGACGTATAGCTAGATAGCCTGTTCCACTTAGCTAGTCCGAGCGTGCCATCTTGACGTAATCCCTGGCCGCTTCCGTGGTGATCGACTTGCTTTGCTCTCCGGGCCGAACGCATTGCACAATCTAGTGCAGACGTGCCCAAGCGCACCACGAAACGAATAGTATTGTGAACTGTGATTAATCTACATAAACGACCGGTACTGGACTCAACCGGTCATCATTTTCTTGGGATAGTTCACTTCACGACGGTGGCTATCGCGCGCAGTGAACGAGTCGGCGCGAGGGGAGGCACTTCGTAGAGAGCAGGAACTAACGAAGGCAAGGGGATATCAAACTCGTGTCAGCATTACCGTGGCGCGGGATACCAAGGAATTGCTTGAATCTCGGATCACACGCTGCTTTGCCTCCCGTAGCACGCGAAGCGGAGAAAAGGCCTCCCCCAATTTAACATTGGCCCAAATATGGGGACTTCTCGTCCAAGGATAGGGGGCCAGATGACTGACTTGTAGGACGTCTCCGTCTCTGTCCGTTGTTCCTCGAAGAGCGCAAATTGGGAAGCGACGAGTACATTATGAAATCTTCATCATTGCAGAGTAGGCACTGCGAGCCGGTGTCTGACCAGCCTAGTCCGACGTGTGTTACAGACTGTTTCGAATCTGCGACATCTTGTCAACTGAGGATCCTGTAGACACGTCTTTTTATGACGACTGCATAAAATTTGGACGTGCCAGTAGGGGATGTAACGGGACAAGCTTTACATGTACCCACCAAGTTAGGATTACTTAGCGGGAAGGTACCGATTCAGTACACAAGTACATGAATAACACTTGGGTGTGGCACACTAAGTGTACCCACCCTTGTGGAGTTGATATACATGAGTTGTATCTACCTTGGAGGGGTGTTGTCCAATTAGGACAGGGCGTCTTCGTGACATCATCCAAGGACGTCATCGATGGACGTCACCTCTATTGGGAGATGCGCTTTGATAGAGATGGCGTCGTATCATTTGTATGTCATAGCCAGTCATGTTTCAGGTTTATATTAAAATAGTTTATATTTAATATAAGTAAGTCTTGAATCTCTTATCTATCACTAACTGTGCGTGGATGGCTTATAGTAGCTTCTACGGTGCAGCGAGGTGTACGTTTATGAGTTCGTTGCACAGTTCGCTTAGTCGACCGGCAAGTGTTGAGTGCAGCGCCTTTGGCGCCTACCAACCCCATCATCGTCGCACCTAAGTAAGACGGGAAAAACCGATTCCTGACTGCGTTAGGGTGAGTACTCGTAGTACGTGGCGGATTAGTATAAGCGCCCATCTACGGGGATCAATTGCCGAAATCGTCGTCATGCCCATAAAAGGAAGCACGTAGTCAGCTCGTGGAAACCCTTTTTATTCCATGTGTAACGTGGTTACACCGCATTTGTGACTTACAAAACATGTGTGGGTACCTAACGTGTATGATTTACACAAGGGACGAAGTCCCATTCAAGATAATATTAGAACATCGTATCAGTTGCCAAGGGGTGACGTCTGTCAGCCACCGATTTATGAGATATTTTAGGTGGTATCATTTCAAACATCAGTGTATAGATTAATTACGTTCGTTAATGTTATCATTTTGGCAAAAAAAAAAAAGTTCAGTTCCCCTTTTGATCACTCAAGACACTTGCCTCACGAGGCTTCTTTGATCGTTAGGAGCTAGCAATAGCTTTGAAGGTAGCTGCTATTGAGCACTCTGTGCTGTGATTATCTTGAAACGTTTGGTCCCCTAGAACAGGAACCGTAAGCTCTAGAAGCTTGTTGACTCTCTGAGTCGGGTTCTCGGAACCAAAGTTGCTCGTTGGGCGCTAAGTCTTCCTCTATCTTACGTGGCTGTGTAGCTGTACACAATCATCTAGAATCATACACAAGATGTGCTGACGTACTTTTTCATTTCGCGGATTAAATTCTTCATTAAGTATAAAAATGGACCGCTAAAAGTTGTTCTTGGATATCTGTTACGCCAGTCGTTATTTCATAGCCGGCCCCTTTGCTATAGGGCACCAATGATGAAAATTGGTTGCTAACAGGACGCTTGAGTGTCCCGATGTACTGAATGTAATAAAATGCACCTAGCCTCTTTGGTAGAGTTGTAAGGACCACATTAGCATTATTTAGCACGCAAATGGTCTATAAGATCGCAAAGTAAAACAACAAACGAATTACAGCCCTTCATTTCGATTGATTTTACAGCATGCTTTTTGTTTTGTTAGCATTGTCGACTACAGCAGGGGGATAAGCTCGTAGAAGTAATGGATTCTTTCCCTGACTCCTGAGTAGAACCTGGTGATGATATCGATCGGGTCCCCATTTTACGGTTGCGTCCTGGTAACCCGTATTACGATCCCTTGGATCACGAGTCTTGATGCTGACCACTTCCCATCCAAATGAAGGACATCGTTCTCATAGTGACTTCGTCGATAAAATGAGAATTTCAATGATACTCTTAGTTGTTCACATGTTGTTGTGCGATCTTGCCGATGGCGGAATGAGCTGTCAAAAAATCGATGCATGCGTCATCACGTGTACCGTAATATGGAAACATCCGACGCCTACCATGTACTCACATAGCACGAGTGTATTTTAGATGGATTTGAGAAATCCGCTCCAAAGAACATGGTCAATAAGCTAATTAAATGTCGATGATGACGTCGTAACGAAGTCCATGGATACTGACTGTATCAACAGGGAGAAGAACCAAGATTGATAAAGCTGTGATAGGCTCTGAATAGTGAAGAAATTGGACACAACAGTAGCATGACGAGGAATAATAAAAAACGATGATTTCCTTGGGGGTATAAACAACTGAAATGACATGTTATGCACTCAACATGCGCTACTGCCAGCAACACCAAATTATAGAACGAGGAAATGTATGGTGATTTTCATGCAAGCACTAGTACTTTTGGTCCGCTTCGAATAATAAATGGTGCTTTCGAATGACTTTACCCAACAGATGATGTCGTAACACACCTATGGGACTCAAACGTTCTCTTCTTTGCAAAATGCGTCATTCGTCCTCCTTTATTTTTTTCAGCAAACGTTACGTATAGGCTTTTTTACCATGGAACGATGATTCACAAACACATCTGATTCACTAATGACGCATAGCCACAAGCGAAGGTGGGCAATCACTCATTTTGTAAATCTATGATTGCTCTTGTATATTTTGCCTTCGTTTCGCTGGGTCACAAACCTGTAAAATGCAGAAGTAATGCGGATTTGGCCATTACGTGAGCCATCTTTGTAGAGCTATTCATTTTGAAGTCTGTTGTAAGCATAATCCAACTATTGGTCATTCCACAGCAACGCTTGTCCAGACCAGATTCACTCCACTGCGACGCATCCTGCAACCAAAACAATTTTGGTGATTTGTGCTCTCCGAAATGCTGACAACTGCACTCAGTGCAAAGATCATACAATCGCGTCGTCCGATGTTCGGGCGTTTTCGGACAGCTAAATTAAAAAAATGTCTTGTGTCTCGCATGAGCTAGAAAATCGCAAACTAGACGTGTAATAGCATCGAGATAGAGGACGAGTCCATTCACTATGTGAAAACAACATGGTTGTGTGAAAACAAGGATGAAAAACTGGATGTAGCGCAAGGTATAGAAAACCGTCATAAATCATGGAGGATGATGTCATGATGCAGGATCTAGCCCTGTTCGTTGAGTGTCTAGTGGCAAACCTTGACGTATAGCGTATTAGTAAACAGCAAATAAGGTACTTGGCATCTCGGCACGATCGGGTCTGTGCCCGCTTATCGCAAAATCGAGAGTAGTATACATCGAGTATTGAAACCAGTATCGCCGTGACAACGGTCATGCGTCTTACAGCGTGAATTTTCAGAGAGATGTCTCAGACCGTCGCAACGCCGATGCTAATGTCGAGGCTCAGCGTATACTACTCGCAAGCATGCTGTCATAGTGCGGACCCGGGGATAGATTGAGCAGGATCTATGTGTTCTTTCTCCTGACACGCACATGATTGGCGACACGCGCATCGGAATCATCTATTTATATATGTATCGTCAACGTTGTTGGCCATGACGCGTACAAAGTGGTGGCCGTCACGGAAATTCTCTGGTCGGGTCCGTCGTTGCTCTTCTGATTCACAGCAACGTCTGGCGTCTAGTGAAGGACCACAATTAAGCCATCCTTCACAAATACACACCGGATGGGCCCTTTTGACGACGAAGACGTGAACACGCATGCATCGAATGAGGAGTTTTAATAAGTTGCAAAACTCTCGTATGTAAATTTGCACGGATCTGCAGGCATCCGAACTTCGTTTAGTTTTGCGTTTGTGACCAATGTTTGTGTTGGGAGCAGTGTTGCCAATTAAAGAGAGAGCTCATTTCTTGGCAGGTGAAAAGGCGAGGACTTTTGGAGCATGAAACGGTGCGCCCATCTCTTAACGCAGCGATGCAGAAGGCGAATGCATTTTGGCGAAGCATTCATGGCGAGCGTAGAGCAAACTCGGTTCACGTTTACCAGCAAGATAGTTCGGACACCTAACCTAGGACCTGTACCATATATTGATACCTTTCGAACTATTCTGGAGAGTCAAGTGGATTTGTTTCTGCTCATCACAGAAGGGATCCAGTTGTAGATGCAACGCTCACGTGTGGGAGCTGGAGCGTTCTCTACGCGTAACATGTCACATTTGATGATGCGGCACGTCGCTTCGTTCATCATCCGTCAATACCGACCATGTGTGGTTAGCCACCAAGTTTTAGCCACCAAGTTTTAGCCACCAAGTTCTGGATCATGTGTCACAAATATACTCCGAAAGATTCAGCACGCCAAAGATGTTTCTTGAGCACACATCTGTCGCAGAAAAAAGCGCATGGCACTGACAAAGACAATTCCAAATTTTGCACATGGCGTCAACTTCTTTCTGTCTGCTGTTGCACATGCGATGATTTAGCAAGAGCAAGATTGAGGGATCCGAAGTAATTTACCACCAGGTTATTCCATATCGTAACGACACTTTGCTGGGCGTTACTTCTGGTTGTACGTGGATTTAGGTGCGAGTTGACATTGAACGCATGTTAGCAACGAGCACACTCTTACGATATCGTACGCGGATGCACCTTACAGAGTTATGCGGTCCGCTGGATTACTTTTGCGTAACTTTCGCAGCTTCGGACAATTCAGTACGTCATCAGTTGCGTTGGGTATCTGTGTAGCTCTTTGTGCTACATCTGCTACTGAATTAATGGAGCAGAGGTACGCGACAATAAATCGTTCGAGAGGGTTTGTCAATCATTGCATGATGAAGCGCCTCGCATTGTTTGTTGCCCTCACCGGCGGTGGCGTGACTTAGGGTGCTAGTGACACGGCTTCTTCAGCAGCATGCAGGACCTTTGATGGACACACATCGAACGTGTAGAGTATTCCAACTCGATATAGAAGACGCAAGATATTGTATCGTTGGTATGTAGCACGCCTGCAGCCACGCACAGCACTAGTTGGACGACATTCGGATACATCGACTTTCACTAGAGCTTGGCGGTTGTACAGCTTCACTTTATCTAGTTCTTTTATCTGCATGGGACGTCCGTCTTCGACAAGTCTGAATCGTTGCGATCTGCGGTCCACCCAAGCAGGTCCTATCTCACTATGCAACAGTCAGTGCTCAGACTCTCCACCGTGCGACATCTAGACCTTCAGCCACGTGTGGTCAAACAGATTGCTCGGCCATTCTCTTAGTCAGTTGATATCAAACAGATACAAAGCCAAGTAGTTACACATCATGACCGCTGCAATTAGGAGGCAATCTTCGAGGAACCTCAACAGCTACTATGCGTTCTGATAATCGCTTGTGCAGCTGTCCGTATTCTGACTATGGCCCCGCCATCGGTGCAGGGTGCACCGGTTTCGGCGGCAGCACAATCTTGTCCTTGATCATGCCCCATGGTGCCATGGTAACGAGCTCCTCGGATGCCGTAGGGTGGATCGCTACAATGTTGTCGAAGTCTGCTTTGGTGGCGTTCATCTTGACCGCCACACCAAAACCCTGAATCATTTCGTCCGCGCCCTCGCCCGCCACATGTACACCAACGACAGTCTCCTGCTCGCCGACAGTCACGAGCTTCATCGCCGTCTTGCCCTTGCGCTCCGGATCCGCCATCGCGTGCAACAAGTTTACAAACTTGCTCGTGTACACCTTGACATTCTCCTCGCCAAACTTGGTCACAGCCTCTGGCTCAGTGTACCCGATCGTGCCAATGGGCGGGTGGCTAAAAATCACCGACGGGATCTGGTGGTAGTTGAGGCACGCGTCCTTCTCACCGCCAAAGAGGCGGTCTGCCAGCCGACGTCCCGCAGCAATAGCCACCGGCGTGAGCTCCCAGCCGGTTACAGTCGCGTCGCCGATAGCGTACACGCCTGGCACGGACGTGTTCTCCTGAGCATCCACTTCAATGAACCCTCCTTCCGCAAGCTTGACGCCAATGTCTTGCAAGCCGAGATCCTCGGTGCGTGGCTTGCGGCCGACCGCGAACAAAATCGTGTCAAAGTCCGAGAACTGTTGTTCCTCGCCACGAACCGCCACGACAAACGTCAGTTTGCCGTTCGGTTGTTTCTCGATACGCACGGCGCTCATGTTGCGCACGAACGTCACACCTGCTTTCTCCATCTCTTCGTTCACCAAGTCACGCACAATGGGCTCAAAGCGACGCAACACTTGGTCATGGCGACAAAAGAGCGTCGTGTCGCTCTTCAGGACATTGAAGATCCCGGCCATCTCCACGGCAATGTACCCCGCACCGACGACTGCTACTTTGCGAGGCTGCTGCTCGAGGCGGAAGAAGCCGTCGCTGTCAATCACGTGCTCACTGCCAGGGAGGTCGGGAACCAGGGGGACCCCACCGGGCGCGACGAGCACGTGCTTGCCCGTGAACACGCGGTCAGCCACTTGCACCTTGTCCTTGGCCACACACGTGGCAATGCCCTGGACGTGGTCCACGTGGGCATTGCCGAGGTTCCGCTCGTAGATACCGGTCAAGCGCTCAATGTAAGCGTCGCGTTTGGTCTTCATGTTGCCCCAATCAAAGTCGCCAAAGGCAAACGCGTCGGACGCGGCCACGTTGATGCTGTAGTCCTTCAGGCGGTGGAAATGCTCGACGTGCACAGCTGTGTTGAACATGATCTTCTTGGGCACACAGCCAAAGTTCACACACGTGCCGCCGAGGCCCATGCCGTCGTACTGACGGCCGCGCTCGACGACGAGCACTTTGGCGCCGTAGGTCGCTGCGCGGCGGGCGGAGGCCATACCGCCGCTGCCGCCGCCAATCACAATGTAGTCGTACACAGTGTCGTCGCTCATGGGGAACGCACGCGTATGAGATCGGGAGGGGGGGAGGGACGGGAGACGATGTGAGCTGCTGGGCGCTGGTTTGCTTGTGATTGATTGGCCAATTGAGGTGGAGTTTGTCGCGGCAATAGGGAGCGCTTTGGACGGGCGGCGGAAGTGGTTGTTGGCTGAATGTCGCTCGCACACGTCGCAGACGCGATTGCGTCTTCAGGACAGGTGGCTGCTGTTGCGTAAACGACGCACGAATGGGATTGGATGCGCCGAGCGCGGAAGAAAGAGAATCGTCACGCTTTTTTGCGCTGGCGTGTTGTGCGTCATTTATACAAAGCAAATGGCAAAAAGCGATAAAGTCGTTTGTGTAGAAGGTCATTGCTTTGTACTTACGCTGAAGTGTGATCTGATTCGTGACTGTTTACTTTCGCCGATGATTTGCACCACGGTCAAACCTATTATCAGAACAGCTTCTGTTTCGCTGTCAAAGATCGCTTCTCACAAAAATACGTTCTGGAAGCAAAGGCAGATACAGGAGGACAAGAAGCTATGATAATGATCAATGGCAAGCTATTTTTACATTTGCCAAAAATTACTACCCAACTTTACTTTATAAATGGCTCTGTGAGACTTCTGTGGACGCTTGTTTACGTGCACGTCTTTTGATGGTACCCCATTCATTCGCATTTGCATTTATCTTAACTCTAATCAAGAGGTCTTTGCTTCCGTCTGTGGAGCAGAGTAACGACGACGACGACGACGACGACACTGGAACGAACCTGAATGATATCGATAAATACAGTGAGTTCCCATTCGATCCGATTCAGTTCCGAGTATATGTTCGTATGGCAAGTAGACCATCTGGCACGGCCGACAGACTTTTCCCGCCAAAAAGGTCGGCATTACGCGATTGTCCAGACTTTTCCTGCCAAGTACGCCGCCATCGGGTGCCTATATTCAGCTCTTAGTCGACTGGCGATGAGACGACGAAAGAGCCATAACAGCTCAAACTTCTTCCCAGTTTTGAGGTGGACGATCGATTTTGCAACGGGCGTCTAACTGATGGGGAGATTTCGTACAGCGGACGTCATCAAGCTCCTGTGGACACGTTGCGCGTTATATGCTTCGCAACAAGTCTACCATAACGACAGCAACGTCTTGACCTACGTCGCTGAGCGTATTGGAGAGTGACTGTGCGGCACACGCTGAGCAGCGATGGTCCAAAGCGAACATTATCGCTGCCGTGCTGTGGCTCAAGCAAGACATCCGAATCTGATGCTGTGCCAACAAATCCGTGAAAGGTACTCGATACGGTATTAACGACTCGATCAGGTGCTTTTCTCTGCTGTTCTCGATGACTCCCATACGGGCTGTGAAACGGCAGATTCGGGCCGCATCACTCGTTGTCGCATTCGCAATGCTCTATAAAGCCAAGCAACGTCTTTTTTCACTGTTACAGAGAGGTAGTTGGCCAGCATACACACTCACCCACTCCCTCACTCGCTCGCTCGCTCGCTCGCTCTATCGAAACAACCAGACAATCCATCCGTTACAGAAAAAGCTCTCGAACCGCCATCTTCCCCCTCGCTTTTCGTCGCCCTTATCCCCCTTCCCCAAAATAGCGCAACCCGAGCCGATTGGTCGTTTGCCGCTCGTGTCGTCGCGGCCGCCCACTCCCTCTCAATAGGAATCTTCCGCACCCCACCCCATGAACGCCGCCGAGTACGCCGTCGAGCCGCACGCGGCGGACGTCGCGGCCCTACACGACCCGTACGCCGAGCCGGACATCGACGGCCCTGTGAAGCTCTTCGTGGGCCAAGTGCCGCGCACGATGGAAGAGGACGCGCTGCGGCCGGTGCTCGAGGCCTTTGGCGCGCTCGACGACCTCGTGATCATCCGCGACAAACTCACGGGCGCCCATCGCGGCTGCGCGTTCGCTTCGTACGTGTCGGCCGACGCCGCGGACCGCGCGGTGCAGGAGCTGCACAACAAAGTGGTGTTGCCGCAGAGCCTCAACCCGCTGCAGGTGCGGCCGGCCGAAGGCCAAGCGGGCGCCTCGCAGGAGCACAAACTCTTTATCGGAATGATCCCCAAAGCCGCCGACGAGCTCGCGATCCGCCGCGTGTTTGACCTCTTTGGCGCCATCGAAGAGGTCTACATCCTGCGCCATCCCGCCACGGGACAGAGCAAAGGCTGCGCGTTCCTCAAGTTCACGGACCGCGCGGCGGCGCTCGCGGCCATTGAACAGGTCAACGGCATTGTCACAATGGACCGCGGCACGGCGCCGCTCGTGGTCAAATTCGCCGACAGTCGGCGCCAGCGGCTCCAGCGGGCGCGGAACTTGGCGGCCGCGGCGACGGCCTATTGGCCGCTGCCGCCGGGCGCGGGCATGGCGTTCCCGCAGCTGCAGCAGCTGCAGCAGCAGTACATGCAGCAGATGCAGGCGTTTGGCGCGCAGGCGGCAGGGATGAACGTGGCACTCGCAGGTCTCGGCTCTGCTCCGGAAGCTGCGGGGGGCGCGGCGGCCGCAAGTCCCCCGAACTCGTACATGTACTACAATCCGTACACTGGCTTTGCAGCAGGCGCGGCGGGGAGCCCGTATGGATTCGGTGGACCGTTGAACGGCGGCGCTGGTGGTGGCGCTGGTGGTGCGACGTTTGACATGCCGCCAAGCGGGATGGGGGCACCGGGGCTCGACATGCCGAGTCAGGGCGTGGATGCAGCCGCCAAGGCTTCGCGGGCGACCAGTCAGTTGGAAGGCCCGGCAGGCGCCAACTTGTTTATCTACCACCTGCCACACGACTTGACGGACGCAGACCTTGCGACGGCGTTTGCGCCGTTTGGTACGGTCATCAGTGCCAAGGTCTACATGGACAAGATCACGGGGGAGAGCAAAGGCTTTGGCTTTGTGAGTTATGACAGCGCGGACGCCGCCGACGCGGCCATTGCCAGCATGAACGGGTTTCAGATTGGCACGAAGAGACTCAAAGTGCAGCACAAGCGGATCCATCAGCGGAGCGACTACATTGGTGTTGGCGGGGACAGCTTTGGCGGTCACGACGACGAACTAGCGAGCATGGAGTACCACCACCAGACGCAGCAGCCGGGGATGTACGATCTCGACGACGGTCTGCTGCCGCACAGTGAGGAGAGTGTCGCCGACGACTCGAACGGAGCGGTTGACAGTCACAGCGGTGTCGACGCGTCACTGGACGAGGCCGTGCAGAGTTTGCACATCGATGCATAACTTGGATGTGACGAGCAGTGTGTGTTTTTGTGACTCGTTGAGCATGTCAGTCCCGTCCGTCCGTCCGTCAGTCCGTCAGTCAGTCAGTCGTGTGGTGGTGATCGTGGTGAGTTTTGAGCGTGAAGAGGTTGAAATGCCGTGTTGAGACAGCGATGCGATACTGGGGATCCACCAGAGGGGACGCAGGAAGCACGAGGCCGAAGCATTTCGAGCAGCAGTCGGCGAGCGAACAAGCAGCACAAGGCGGCGACGAAAGAAGAGAGCAGAAGCGCAATGTAGCGACAATGCAGCAGAGCAGCTAGGGAGCAAATGAATGATAACCAGTGTGTCCACTTGCGCTGTGTGTGTGTGCGTCTCGCTCGCTCTCGCATATCGTTGCAGCTACAGCTCACGCCCACTTCGCCAGTAGTCCGAAGATGGCGTAGCCGGCCACTAGCGCAAGGGACTTCGTCAGCGTCTGTTTCGGTGCCTGTTGGTGGCGAGGACCCTCCAGGCCACTCGCGTGACTGTGCTGCGGGAACTCGTGCGGGATCACCTCCATGACCGCCACGTAGATGAACGTCCCGGACGCCAGCGCCACACAAATGCCTGCAGCGGCCGACTCCTCGGACGAGTCGCCGACAATCGTCCAGCCAACGAGAATCCCGACGATGCTCATGAACGAGAAGACGACCATGTAGAGCATCACGCGACTGAGGGCCATGGCTCTACTCTGCACGAGTTCGGAGCCCAAGGCAAACGCGGCGAGTCCTTTGTGCATGACAATGGCCAAGAACACGCCCCACGCGGTCTCAGTCTGTGCCCCAATGCCCAGTCCTTCCAAGACCGAGTGGAACGACAGCGCAAGGAACAGCACCATAGCCACTGCAGGCGACGCGGCTTCCTTGGAAGCGCTTTCATACCCGTGCGCGTGACTCACATGACGTCGGTCTTCGTTCTTCAGTCTCTGCTCCTCGTCATCCACATGTTCCACGTACGTGCCGCCGCTCTCTCGAACGCCGTATAGCTCCTCGTCCAGCAGGTCCTCACTCTTCTTCTGCTTCCACGGCCCGACGTCGTGCCTCGTCCAGTCGTTCACCAAGTGCGCCTGAGCAGCTTGTTCCAGCAGCAAAAGTCCCAGAAACCCCACTGTGCAAAACATCTCTGCGTACGGAAACGCATAGCGACCGCCGTCCATAGTGGACCATTGACGCAGTGCCGAGTTCTCAATCGCCGCGTGGAGAAGATGGAGGAATCCACCGGCGAGGAAAACACCGCCGGAGAAGGCGCTGAGGATGCTCAAGACAGGAGACTTGTCGTGCTTTGACGCGAGTAGCGCGGGAGTTAGTCCCCCAATGAGCCCCACGAGCCAGATGCTTCCGAGGGACACGAGCTTGAAGACAAGAAGTGGGCTCATGCTGTCCACGCGGCCCAATCGATGGAAGGAGCGGTTTGTTTTCGAGAATTAACGAGCGAAGAGTTGGAATCACACGGATGTACCCATGAGAGAGCGTTCACATTATCGCATTTCGCAAATCATGTCAACATCCAAAAGCACTGTTGACACGATGACGGCTTCGACAGGATGTGGCCTTCCTTACGTTCAGCGTGTTTCCTTGCACTGGTATGCTGTTTCTTACATGGCTGATAGCTGTCATCACGGCTGCTTACGACTTGCCGCGAGGCATTGCAGGTTATGCACAATTCCCAAGCAAAGTCGGTCGTACTACTGGATGACATGGCTCGTTCTTGCTGACAATGTTGTAGCTTCGACAAAAAGGCACCTTGCTCTTTGTGTGCGAGTGTTCACATCCATGCTTTTCTGTCCTGATCTTGAATACCTACATCCGCGTACCATGCTCTTCTGTCCTGGGTTTTTTCTGCTGATGCATTTATCACACAACTACATCGTGACGAGGCATTACAAACCAGCTCGTTTTTTGTCTCGATCCTCAACTAGTGCAACGTGCCGTCCAAGATATCAAGACTTCGGCGTGTTATAAGGTGGGTTCGCCAACGTGACACACAGTTCCTGGTCATCGCGCGAAATGTCTGTGAAGAACTTGAGGACGCGCATTAGCGACTAACACGAAGAGGCAGACGAGAAAGTCACTCCGAAATAACACTAGGGAACCAAAACCTTCCAAGTTGTGCTTCTTACTCAATGCGAGATCTCGCTCGCTCATGCAGCCAGCTCGTCATATCAGCCGCATCAGTGTTATCTTACCTAGAATCATCCGGTTGGTTTTGTGGTGCAATCGCAATTGATGTATGACAAGTTGACTATCCACTCGTGCTATACTGTGTTGCTGAACCAAATGTAACGAGCTTACAGTTGGTTTTGAAGAGCCCGCGCAAATACGAATAACTGAACTGTAATTGCCTAGTCTTGAATTAATCGCCTGATAAACAGCGTAGTATCGACGCGCTCATGGCATAAGAACGCCTTACTAAAAAAATCTTGCTACAAAGTCGGTATATGATACATAAACTACGCCCAGCAGCAGAGCATGAAGTTCTTTGACCTCAATTGGAATAGTATGTTCAGGTTGCATATACTGGATGCGTCCAGTGCTATCCGTGTAGCTGGTGTCCGTAGTCAGCAGGCATGCGTAGTAAGTGATGTGACTCGATCATTGTAAAAGCCAAAGGACATTGTAGCGTAAGACGGGGCCGTAGGGCATACAAGTCGCTACAGGTACCTTAGAAGTTTGAGGATTGTGGACCACCATTTAGCCAGCTTGACGCAAAGTAACGTCGGACATTCGATCGCCTTGTTCACGATATGTAGACCGATATTTCTCTCATAGTTCGTGTATGTTGTATCTGCGACACAGCGAGTTACACTTACAATGTCATCAGTGAACGTGTACCAAACGAATTAGAACAGTGTTATCTACACACATCATGGACCTCAGACTCACTGTTCGTGTATGCGCGCGCAAGCAAAACTGGTTATCTTAGTAAAGGGAAGCCGTTTCCACTCACAATAAAGATCTCTTGTATTGCGGATTATTGTGAGTGCAAAGACGGTAATTCTAATCGGGCTCCAGTGCAACAAATACAATCTGTATAGTCGATCTTCTATTCACATCGCATGATGTTTCGTTCGATGGGATCGACAGCCGGTATCCTGGTCGACATCACCTAGTAAAAGAGGGCCACTTTTGGCCTATCCTACAGTACCTGCCAAGGTATTGCTCACATTGACATTGTCGTACATATAAAGCCCATGTCATTGAACGTGCTTGCTCTGTCACAGCATCCATCGCCCTAATTCTACAGTCACATTGGTTATGGCTGAATAACAACATGAGAGGTCCCGCTGTATTTACTTGAAAAGACAAAAAAACATGTAAGTCATATTGCACTAGTTCTACTAATCCACCACATTAGGTAACAAACCTGTGCGGCGCACCGAAACGGGGAGATCACGTCACGTAATATTGTAAGTTATTCGGAGGGAACTATTGCACCAGAGAATTAAGTATAAATGCGCCAACAAATAGAAAAGAACGAAAGCACAAATTTTAAAAATGGAAAATAAGAAAATACGCCCGCGGTCGATACGTTTCCCCCGAAAGTACACTTCCCGAAATAACGCATATACAAGTAAAAAGATTTATGATCCCTCATATGTATCATATCTCGAAACCCCCAAGTTTTTTCATTACTACCCAAATCGCAAGAATTTGAACACGTGTTGACGCTTCAAACGTAGTCTTGGAGTTCTGATGTCGTATAATTGTGTTGACCACGTTGCTTTTAATACTTTTGTATACCGCATGCGATGTGAGAATTTGCTCTAATATGTGGATGTCTAATTGGTGGTAACGTAATGAAAGAATAAGATGAGACAGCATCATATTAAAGCGACGCGTACACCGTGCTGTGTTGGATACTTTAAAGGTACGACGTCAGGTAAAAATAAAGATGACGTATCGGCCAGCAACATAAGTAGGTATTTGCAATACACAACTAAGAATCATGTATCGTTGCTAATGAAGGAGCTTATGTAAGAATTTAAAATTACCAAGATCACCATTGTGCCGATAGTAAAATATTCAGCGCGAACGGCAGGAAATATGAGTCTTTCGGCATGTCGGGAAGGCGTTCACATCGAAACAAATATGGATACAAAAACGCGGTTGTGATTAACAACATTTCAGAGGTCTTATGGAAGCAATTACCTGCATTTGAAAAACGTATCTTTGCTGACTCGTTTGATCTTTGTGTGATTATTTTTCAAATCAAGTCGACCGAAAAATTAATGTTGCCTCTGCGTGGTAAAAAATCGAGCGTTTTTGTATCACAAAAAAAGGAAAACGGACAGCAAAAGTATTGTTCGAGAAACGAATGTCTATCAAGCAAAACTACGGGGCAGAACAAGCGTCATTTCTACCAGAATCGAACCTTAATCAGCTCAACCCACTTCGTTCGAGACGGTGTATCATTCTCGCGACATTTTGAGATAATGTAACAGGGTACATACTGGTCAGCTCTTGTATTTATTAGTGAATTGCGTGCCCCAGAACTTAAGTACGCTTGAGCTATTCAGAAGCGAGGATGAATGCTGAGCAGAGGATGCCCAGATAGAGAAAAATTGGTACGATAATTAGTGTAGTTATGTGTTTTGATCAGACCTACTTTTTCTTATTTTAAGTATAACAAACCACAAGCTTATGTATAGAATCTCGTTAACCCGTCATTGCGCGCATCTAGAAGCGATTAATAATCAGTTTGGTTGGTATTACGGTCTATATCAACCAATAGATAGAGCCTCCGTAAAGATGTCCTCAAATGGTAACATTTCATCTATCTTTTCTTGGTTAAGTAACGTTGAAGAATAGCATCAACAGAGATAATATTCACATTATTATTTGGTATTACAGTAGAACCTATCTAAATTATTACTGCCTAATGTAATAACCTGCCCAAGGTAAAATCGATTTCTGGTCCCGACTTGGGACCCATATTGAATGTAATAAACCTCCCTAAACAGATACTTGATAGCCAAAGGCTGGTCCCAAAAAAATTAAAGTAATACTCACTATATTGAGGGTTTTGAAATTAAGTGCAACGCAGTTAAAGGGCCTTGAAAAAGAATTCTAAGATGGGCTTCTGCATCAGTTGATTAGTCCTGATCTTCACATATTTGTCCCCTGTTTGCTGGAGGCTTATAATGAAGTCCTGGTTCAGGTCTGGCTGCTGCAAACAAACGTATTCAAGCGACTGCGCGGCATCGAGTATCTGAGATGACATGACACGAGGAAGCTCTTCCGCGTCATCTTCCTGTTCCTCCACTTGATCAGATCGAAGGTGCTCAGCAATGATCTCATCTTCATCTGGTGTGTATACTACCTCCTCCTCATCAGGGTAGTTAAGAAGGACTCTGATGTCCATTGGGATTTGGTACCGCAACTGATGAATTTGCAATTGAACATCTTCGATGACCTCATTGTCGACCTGCTGCTGTGCAGTAAGTTCAGGGGTTCCCAAAGCAACCGATCGAATCTTGCAATTAAGGAAGCAATTCGAAATAGTTTCGGCCTTGACATCTGAGTCTCAAGCTGCAACCGTCATCCGAATGGCCTGAAGAACATCAATCCTCTCCAAATCTTCCACATTATGCTCGAGGCGCTGCAGGAGCAAGCGATTAAGCGCCTGCGATAATAGGCCTTCAAATTCCTGATTATGCCTGCGTCGCACGGCTGGAGTTTTGAAGTCGTATTTGGTGTAACGTACACAACCGTGGTATTGCGCAACCGGATGACTGTAGGAAGTTGGGCAAGCGGTATATGCGCACTGCAGTTATCTTTGATTAGAAGAACTTGGCGTCCGTCCATGCGAGCATCAAATGATTTTAGCCACTCGTTGAAGATGGCTTGTGTCATCCATTCTTTACTGTCGTTTCAGTTGTTGCAGCCGATGGTGTCAAGGTTGATGTTTTTGAAACAACGCGGACTCTTCTACTCTCCTATGACGAGAAGCGGCAGCTTGTCACTTTCATTGTCATTGCAGCACACTCGCAAGGTGATACGCTCTTTGTTTTGTATTCAGCCTTCTAGTTGCTTAATTGCCAGCGAATTATCTGCCTGTGAATAAGTTTACGCAAGCACAAAGTGTCAAAAAATTTTGCAAACAGGACCACTTGCCAAAACAAATCTGCAGCCGGTAGAATAGCCCGGTTTCATCCATGTTGTGGAAATCTTTCCACTCGTACTTATCCAACGTCTCCCGGATGTCAGGGAGTGATTCCTCGATGAGTGTCATGTCAAGAAAACCACTCTCTCCAAAACGGCGAAAGGACTTGTTTTTATGCCGGTCTTCAAATGATTCCAGCCAGCCGTTCGAGAACTCGAACACATCATGCTAAGGGTAGAATTGGTCACGAAAATGGCTGCTTTCTCTTTGATA